TTCACTTCAGTTTTCGCTCATTCCAATGAAACGTGTTTGATGTTTTCTGTACGGTGAACTTTTCACTTTTATGCAAGCATTTTTACTGCACTCCTTCAAACACTTTGTACGCGTAAGCAAGTCAACTTTCTAAGTCAGCTTAAGTCTCAAGTAGAATTTTATTTGTTGCTCTAACTTGAACGCAATCTGTGAATGACGTTCGCAGCCTGTTCTACAATTCCTTCGTGTGGTTTTATCTCGTTTTTTTTTTTTGCTTCACTGATATCTTCTCGTCTTTTGTGATATGTTTTTTAATTGTGTCTAAAGCTTACTGCACATCTTCCGGTTTGTGCTGAAAAAATACACACTGATCGATGAACTCAGTCTTAGGGAAGAGTTTATTGATCAATTCAGCAAAGTGCATCATTCCATGATATTACTCATGAAAAGTGGATAAAATTTGATTGTGAAAATGAATTAATCGTACGAATAAAACGATCAATTCAGTTACTCAATGAGATTTCCTCAAACGATTGTATGGAATCAATGCAAAACCTGTTCTTAGATGGAGTGGATTAGTTGAGTGCCGTTGATTTTTTGTGTTCACTTCAGTTCATATCGTCTGCATAGCGACCTTCGAGATACGAAAAGTGCCTAGCAGTTGAAACAAAAATTGCAAATAATCGCTCAGCACGTGAACGCTCAAACTGCACTTTTTTCATAAAAATTCGATGGGAAATAAGGAAGCGAGATGTGAACGAGACGAAAATCTTACGAGTGGATTCATACGCGAGCAAATAAAGATTACTTCTTGCTTCACGTATCACTACACCTTATTTATTTACTCGATCATCAACTGCAATTCATATTTTTCGTTAGGCTTCATTCCACACGACTGAGAAATCGTTTCCAAGTGGCTATCGATTTATCACAAAGGTAATAATAAGGTATGGAAATTACTTTCCTGTGTTGCCCAGTGATTTTTAGGAAGCCCAGCTCAAAGTAAGCCCAACTAATTCATTTTGTCAAGCGAGGAGCAAAGGCCCATGCTATTAAAACGTCATCCATAAATTTAAGAGAAAATGAGTCAGTTAAAAAAAAACAACTTATTCTCCTGAAACGAATCGTTTGATGGACTCGTTTCACTTTCTTTGGTTGTTCGGAGTGTTTCTCGACTTTACCAATCGGTGCTGATGTATCGATACTGTATTCTACTGATCTGTAGAGAAGTTATAAGCACACGTTGATAGAATTTTAATCATTTTGAAAAAATTCCTAGTGACGTAATTGTATTCAACGTGCATTTTAGTGTTCAGTTCTGTCGATTGCTGGCCTAATTTAAAATCATTTGATGACATGCTAATATTAGTGTTTCTGTTGCTTGTTTAAATGAGAGCAATTTACCATTCATACGTGTGTGTGTGTCCATTACACCAACAACGCTAGCTCACAGATACGAAAAAACTTCGTGATTGAAGATCCATCTATGAAATGGAGGAAAATGCTTAATGCCTTCAATTTATTATTATGTTGATTTATTCATTTCATTCCAGTATGCTTACTAGTAATTACTTTTATCAGTGTTATCGAATCAGGTTGGGTTGGAGGCGAACTTGGGCTCATGGATCCCCGAGATCAGGAGACTTGTTCATGCTTGAAGGCCTCTGACCCAACCCTCTCAGGAAATATGAAGTACGAATATCCATTAATTGAAGAAATATTTACTGGTGAATACTCAAAATAATTCGGCAATTTCATTTGCAGTTCTACTTTACGAATCAGCACAACTTGAGATACAATAACATTGTGATTCAACTCGTGTACTTCCAACCAAATAACAACTGCAATCACTTTTGCTCATTCCATAATTAATCGTTGTAATAATATCATTCCTCTGTTGAATACGGCTTCTAACAAGTCGCAATAATTTCCATCAATAATGCAGTGTGACTATTTTTTAACTGCAGCTGTAGTCAAAATATTTTTATTTTGGAATCAATTCAATTTGTGACTTTAAAAAACTCTGTCAATGCGCTGATAATTACCAAATTTTATTAGCTGCGATTCACTGAAGGAAGTGCTGAGTCCCTGCAACTCATCCATGCAGCAAGAAAAAACAAACGAAATATGAGGCAAAATGTACGACTGAATATATGTATCGATATGCAGAAAAGACATTTATTCTCAATGAAAACCAATATGTTTACTCAACACATTCATTTCTTTCAAGTTAAAGACAAATTTGCAAAGGAATCTGTGTACCTGCTTCTCTCAGTGACGTCCTCGACATTCTGGATAGCTTACTTTGGTTGTGCTTGTGATCGGCTCTTCAAAATTTGGACGTTGTTGTGCAAACATTTTCGTGCACAGTAAGACATCACTTGAAGAAACAGTGAGGACCAATCAGAACGTCTCCAATAGTTGGGCAGCAATCCGAATTCAAAAATTTCGAAGCCTTGAATCGAAAATCACATAAAAGGAGCTGGAAAAAGTCCTCGAAATCCCTCGTTGGCTGCATGATCATTCACATTGTTAAGATGAAACAGGTTCTAATCTGTGAGAAAAGTTTCTAAGTTACTGTTTAAACATGTACTGCTTGAGCTATTTCTCGATACATCAATACAAAAAACTTCATAGTCATGCTGAATGTGCGTTAAGGGTTAATGGATAACCTGGATACTTTTCTGGTATCGCTACTTAGAGCAGTGCTGATCTCTTCCACGAGCATAGATGCTACTGATCAAAAAATTCACAGCATTAGCTGTCTATCTGTATTTATGAAAATATTTCATGCAGTTGATTGTTCCATAGAGAAATATTACAACAGTATGGGTATATTATGTTCAGGCCAACTGTATGCTCAGATTTTTCACGCTGTTGAGATGGACAAGACCCTGATCTTTAAAGAAAATGTATTGATTGATTGACGAAGATGTTTTCGAAGAATTATAACTGTATTATCAAAGAGATATCTTAGTTGAAAATAAAAATGGAAGCGTAAACATATAATGAACAAAACTGATTTTGCCGGTTTTAGTTTTCTAATCTCATGAAATTCGGAATTAGAATCAAGATCCAGGATACCCGAAAGTCTTTGGAAGCAGGATATACGTACAACTTCAGAACATTCCAGCTGGTTTATAATACTTACTGTTAGAGGAAAAACATCTAAAGGCACCATTACAAGCCATCACTCATCAAATTCAATTTTTCTTGTTTGAAACCAATATCCGAAAGAATCATTACAGGATATGAAAGTGGTCGCATGATTATCATCGGTTATTGTTGGGTAAATTTGTAGTGAACAAAATGTGGCCTATAGGTTACGACGAATAATCTGATGTATAGCAGATCAATACTGTAAAAAGATGAATTGAACGTGTTCCAATAATAAGAATGTTCCAAATAAATTCATGCGAATCTATTGTGTTGATAAATGTGTCTGTAATCATTGCACTTTCTAGGTAATAGTAAATGTAAATGTGCGCAAAGACAGATTTTGACAAAAGCGTTGTAGTGATGAGATAGTAAGGAAAGACGTTTGTTCTGTATCGCTGATAATGCATATCAGTACTGGATTGCAAATGATATCGTTTGCAGCACATAATAAGAAACCTAGTATTTGTACGCGAAGCTTATCGTTTGTGCTTCATCCTGACTTCTATATAAACTTGCACAAGTTTACGTACTTTTTCTGTATTTACAAAATGTTTCTTTATTTCGGAAATTTCAGAAAGATTTTTGATGAAAATTGATCAAGGCAATCAACTTGATGATATCAATTTGAAGGGATGAGCAGTAATGCAGTGATGTAGTAACTTATTCTTGCATATTTCTCATTCAACCAAGGAAAGTTTCTGTTGATCCACTTTTTCGTTTCAGCTGACCTCAAAGTATGAATTGAGAGAGAAAGTGGCATTTGATGTGAAACCATTTGTATCAATTTATAGGCATTAACTTTATCGCTTTCAGTTAATAATCAATTTTTCATTGTCGTAACGTTGAAAAAAGCTTAGCATGTCTGCAATTCTTCGTTAACGCATAAATTAACCAGTATATTTTAAATTTGAAAAGTTTACTTGAAACTACCATTCTCAGATGTATTCAAAACTCTAAAATCTATTCATAATCTGATCAATTAAAAACAAAAACATTCATCAAATGATTTTCTCATCGCATTTCAACACTCATTAATCATCCTATTTATTTGACGCGGCATTTAGCTGAAAACGAGTTGCTTCGGGACAACATTCCGGTTTAGTGCAACATTGCTCATTTTGTTGTGCTCATACATGTATTGTTTTCGCCGGCTGCGGCATGCAGTTTTCATTTTACTGCATTATAATATAGTTATGTGACAAGTAATCGTGTTTTTTTTTTGCTTTGACCACTTCATTCCACAAGCGTTGTGATGGTTATGAATTAGTTTCATTGAAGAGATAGTCGAAACGATTACGGAAAAAAAAATAAATTGTGAATAATTTAATCAGTTGTGCTATGAATGAATTAAAAGGAAAATATCCATCTCCATTTATCGGCGTAGTGTTACACCTCAGTCGAGCACATTTAAACTGCGATACCGCTTGGATTCAGGGTGGGGAAGGGGGAGGCCCAAGGATTTCAGCTCAAAGTTACGACTCAGATCTCACCCCGTGTTTCCATCCCTTCGAAAACTTAAGTCTTGAGTCGAAGCATATTGCAAAGGTAAAGTTTGTTGCGTTGCAATATGCTTCGACTCAAACGTAATAGCGCCTTTTTCGTCGGATGAAACTCAGTTTTGATGGTTCAAGAAGGAGGATTCTTCGAAGTTAGAATGAAGAGTTGAAATCAAATTGAGTTAATGACAAATCATTTCTTGTTTGATGAAACGGATTCGTTTTTATTTTGATTTCTATTTTCTATTCATAATCGAATTAGACAAATGAATTTTTCTAGTTGGCACATATAATCGCTTATCTGATAAACGAGTAGTTCCACGATGTTGAGTCTGGATTAGAAATTTAGGTTCAATTTAGGCTTCTATGGATGTCCAAAAGCAGCGTTCGCGTCTTCTCAGAAAAATTGCCTTTCTTCCAGGTTTGCGTCTCGTTAACTGTTAACAAGTTGATAAGAAATTCTCATTCATTCTTTTGATTGAAGTGGAGTACTTTTTTTTTGTTTTTCATCTGATTGTTGTTCGGATGATTAGAGTTGTGGGCGAATGTAATCGGAAAACGAAGTCATTAATTCAGCATTACAACAGTGATTTGCTTTTCACGATGTGATTCCAAGCAAAATATATTGCTTAAGAATGCTTGAACCTAACTGATGGTCATTTCTTAATCGTAATGCCGAACATTATCGTGGTTTGTAATTAGCATTAAATAAACACAACTGATCACGAAGTGAAGCAATTCGTTTGTTTCATCACCAAAGTAGAATCACATTTAGGATCACGAGATCGCGCTGCTCGACCTATACTAGTGATCAATGCAGTGTGTAATGAAGTGACGTCTCAGTGTGATGCTCATTCAGGTGAACCCTTGTATTTCATCGAATAATGTAACTAGGGTGCACCAGAACTGCAAGTTTATCGAATAAATTGAGATTGAAGAATAGCGCCATCTATTACACACCGTCCTTCAGATGCCATACGCAAAAAAACCAGATCAACAGTTTAGATCAATTTTCTTGAAGCAGAATTTCACACAAATCATTTTTAGACCAAAGAGCATTTTCTTGAGAGGTGAAACCTTGGAAATTCCTAAATCCTAAAATCGTACACTTTGGCGAATTTGACAAAAAACGAGTTCATCTTTGAAAATTATTTGAAGCAAAATTTTGCATAGTTCACTTTTCAGTGAATAAATCACAAGACATATACTGCCAAAAGCAAGAATAGAAATCTCTGAGAGAACTGTTCAATGAACAACTAACCGAACAAAATATTCTTTGGGGATGGTTAAACATAATTGGTGAGATTAAAGGCTTGACATGGTTTCATTCAACGGTATCTTTAATTAAAACTGGCATGATCTATCATATCGTTACTCAATATGCTGATGTAATTAGTTATTACTGATTGATTGATGTGTTTACAAGCTTTACTTCAACTGATGTGTCTGGAAGAAGTGATATTTAAGGAGCTCATTCACAGCCCAATATGAATGCACCAGCATATGAGGATATCGTATCACTTATTGGATATTTGGCTCATATTCCTGATGAACGTTCTCGTCTTCTTGGGTTCACCGTTTTAATAGACGGTAGACATGCCCACCTGAAACATCTTCGGAATGCACTTAGAGCATGTCAGGTATTCATTCTGTTTCAGATTAGCATCTGTCTCTTACTCATTCTTTCTGTTTAATTTCATGAATATCCTGATTACGTTCAGCCTGCAGCAAAAAAATCACTAAACAAGCATTCAAATGAAAAGACTGCAGACTGACACGAGAAATATTGAATGTCCTTTTATTTTTCAGCACGCATTATATAAACAAATCAAGCAAGTTGTTATTATACAGCCAGAGAAATTTCTCGAACAACAAAAACTTAGTTTCGATCTTATTAAAGAGGCATACGACTTTAAGGTTAGCATTAATGAATTTCATTCTAATTGCTTCTGGTGTTGAATGATATGACTTATGTTAGTTTCAGTTGTACGAAGTCGTTTCTAAAATGCATTTTTTCATTGAATTTTTTTTTCAATTCACAAACGTTGAAAATTCACGTACGATGTAAGTGGTTTCTTCAGACAACACTGACATCCGTACATAAGCTTTCAAAATATGTCGACATAACTCAACTACCAGATTCACTTGGCGGTACATTTTGCTATGATCCACAAAACTGGATTGATTTACGAGAGGTGAGTAACCTTTTCATTTTTTCGATGGTTTTAAATTTTATTAGCAACTTAAAAGCGATCACTTCCGATTGACAGTGCGTGCCTTGATCTTCAGGAAGGAAGGAATTGTGTTAGTATGATTAATCAATTGTAGAAGTATGAAAATTTCATCGCGAAAGCCAGTAGTTGGATTCAGACAGCGAAGAGACACGAAAAACTAGCGTTGAATGAATCTGCTGATAGCGGCGATTCTTGTAAAACTGTTATAGCACCAGATGAATTGCGGAAGCAAGGTAATCGTTCAAAAAATTCAATTTATGCTCGAGTGCATCTTGAGAGTTGCTTTTAAATATGTCTTAAATATAAATAAATTTGAAAAAAAAAGATTCATTGCTGAGATCGAGCGATGAGAAAAAGACCCCCTCTGCTCATATTTTAATGCTGCAGCTTTTAGGAGATGAATTATTGGACAAATTATTACCAGCTGGTGCCAATGCCTTTAACACCCTAAATTCCGATTGGAATTCAGCTGCTCAGAAGGTTGAATTAATGACAAAGCAAATTAAAGTCAGTTCTCTTCTATTTATGTGATGTTATGAATTGAAGAAGTAGTCGTTGATTCGGAAAAGATTCAAAAATTGATTCAAAAAAGTAGATGATGATTCGCTACCAACTAGTAACATCATATTGCAAATCGTCCGACGAAGAAAATGGCTCTAGTTCATTTCCGAGACTTTATATTCAGTTCATTTTGATAAGAACGACTGGACTGGATTTGAGCATTTGAAAAGTTAAAAGAGTGGTCAGCAGTACTGGTGACAGAGGTAGTGACAACAAAAATTCGGAAATCTTCACGTTGTTGCATGATAGTATTTCACAAAGTAGAAGGCATGTACGCCCTGTTAGTTGTAGAAATGGTCGCAGTTAAACCATCGCTACATCTAGATCTTGCTGATAAGGTCGTAAAGTATTTGTATCCATCGGGTAGGAAAAATACTGAGCTACAAGAGTATTCCTAACGTTATTAATCGGAGTTTCCTCGTTCCCAAGTTGCTGCTTAGTTTACTCGTAGAATATTCTCACCATTGCATGGAATAAGGATCATCCTTGCGATTTTACACATTTGATTACTGTAGATCATCAAGAGGAATTCACGTACTCCATGGTTTAGAAGTACGATATCTCAAGTGATATCATACTTCAAAATGATATCTCAAGTGAAAGTTTCTGTTTCCTTCGCCTGGGGATATTACTCCCTGGCTTCCCGAATTCCTTGATCAATTTCTTTTGGGAATCAGGTTTTCCCTAATTCCACATTTTTATTTCAAAACCTGGCAGAAGTTATCTGGGGAATGTTGGAGAACATCATCCATCCAAAGTCATTGAACGGAATCATGTTAAATGAATCGCATAATCATCTTGCTTTGGTTTGATTTGATTTGAAATCAAAATGAAAATGTTAATTTTGTATGTTCAGAATGTGGAAGAAGCCCCTGAACTAGAAGCGAAACGAGCCCATCAAAGAGCGTGCTACCGAGCATCGATGAAATTAATTGACGATCATGCACAAGGTATCCGCAACCTGGTCGAGTGGATATTCGGTGCAGGCGAGAAATGGCTTCTGACTCTTCATGAAGTCGGTGAATCAGCGGATGACTCAAAACAGCTGGTTAAAGATCACGTTCAGCTGGAAGCAAAATCGAAGGCAATTAGCGACATTAGTTTATGGATTGAATGCTTGAATGTTATTGATAAAATCAATAATGTCAAAAACACTTGGATTCACTGTATTGTTGATTCTAGAAAATGCTTGTTTCCATGAAAATGAGAATTGAGATTTTCTATGCTATTGAATAACGATTCACCTGCACCTGTCATGTTCATCATAAAAAGTTAGTCTTACATTAGAAACTATCATAAATCAGCTAACAATACATACGCATTGGTTTGAAGCACATAAAGACAAACATGAAGTTGTATGCACATTTTGAAGGAAGTATCCGATCAAGCCGACGAACTGTGTGAAATGGCGAATCGTTTAATTGCCGAATTTCCTGCACATGCAATCACTCTTGAAAATAACAGAGAGCAAATGCGTGAAGTTACCAATAGATTTTGTTGCCGTGTTCAACGGCAAAAACATATCGCTATGCAGTCAGTTCGTTTTCATCAATTGCTTAATGAGGTATCATTCACTATTTTATTTCTCTCTATGCTTCAACATCATATCCCTTCCACTTATGTTTGCTCTGGACAGTCGAAATAATCATTCATTAGCAAATATCAAATATCTGCGTTTTGTAGGCCTTACTTTGAATTGAAAAACTCTCCAAAATTCTTATGCATTTTATGCACTGACTGATAGACTTATTCGCTTTTCTCTGATTGTGAATTAGTTGTTTTTTTTTTTTGAAATCTTCAATTTTTTTTCTCTGAGCATATATGTGTTAGCAAGATTTTGCAGAAATATTTCAGTTTCTGTCAAATTGATTCCGAATTGTTTTCATTTTTGGCTGATAATGTCTACTTGATTTTGCAGACTTTCATTTGACATAATCCAGCGAGCAAACTTTCAATAGTCCAACGAGATTCATTTGAAAACAAAAACATAAAAATGATTTGAAAAACATAAAATATTTGCAGTGTTCGCGTAAAACCGATATACTTTTGGAATCGTTATGTACAGAAGTAAAAGCGGGCGATGCGGCTAGCGCAGAAAAGGAGAGAGTTGATATGGAAAGTAAGGTGGATGAAGTAGGTTCGTTTTGAGATGGATTTGAATTAACGACATGCATGGACTATTCAGATCGTTGTTCTTTTGGTATACGGCTATGAAGTTGCGTTTCATCTCTTCACTATAAAAGTCATGAAAATTTTCTTTTCGGACTCATGAAGGTCATTCTGAATGGTACTGATGTTTGTCAAACAAAGAAGTGCTTCAAATCATATTCTATTTCTTTGAAGAACGCTCTTTTTTCGTTGCAAATGTTGTATTCTATTTTATTCCAATAAGTGACAAGATATTGAATCTTCTGTGAAACATACGTAACTATTCAAAGTCCTCGATGATTTATGCCACGCTCTCGTTTCATTGATTGAAATGTAATTTGGTAAAATTAATTCAAGAGAAGATCTATCATAAACTAATGGAGAATGGCGTATCATTCATTGATGAATTGTGCATCGATGAATCAAATTCATCTGGACGAGCAGTTGCACGTGATTATTCGGCTGGAATTGTGCATGTCAGGTATTTTTTTGTTGATTTCAGTTCGTTTTCAAAAATGCTGATTGTGTCAATGAATGCTCTGTTTTCATCAAAAATTATTTCTCGATCCGACAACATGATAATCCAACGCACGTCATGTTGTGTGCGAAAGAATGATGAGATATCATCCAGTGATAAGTTGTGTTTGAATCTGTTTAACCCTCATATATGCTTTTTCCTTTTGTGACCTGAGGGTAAGACCGATTAAGAGAACGACTCGAAGAAACTCGTGAAAGACGGCGAAGATGTCATCATCTGGTTGATATGCGAAGGCTTAAAATTCAGCAATTGTTGCAGCTCTATACATGCGAAAAAGACGGCGAACAGGTATGATCATATTAACTACGGTTTATTCTCTGCATGAATAATCACTCGAAGTTATTTTAGATTCTTTTTTTTCAGCTGATCTAAATAGATTTATTGTGGAATCGAAAGTCAGTCATGTCCGTTTAAAAATTTTCGGCCAACAATCGAAACTAGTGTTACAAAAGGAATGCATGTCTATCTAATAGATCTACATATTGAGGCGATAAAGTGGATCGATGAGTTGCACAATACGCTCGTTAATGATTATGATGTGGTTGAAAGGAATAATGAAGCACTGAAAAAACTTCGTGAAGATCGTACGAAGCTCGAAGAAACTGCGAGGGTCAGTTCGAATTGTTGCATGATTATGTTGCAATTGTTAACGCAAACGATATCGTCAATATTCGTCCGATGAGAAAAAGAAAACTTCGGCAACAAATGCATTACTATCGAAGTGTTGTAGATCAGTCATAGGCTGATATCTTGCCGAGATCAATTCATGATTGCAATTGTTTGCGATACACTTTATGTAAGATGTTTTTTTAAAGTTTATTGGGGTTCAACGAAATATAATTCAGAGTACATATGAATATGGTAAGCAACTATGCCAAGTTGCGCTCGTTCTGCGGCGATCATTACGAATGGACGTCCAACCGCAGTTGGTATTGAATCAAAGGCTGGAATCCGTATGGGGCGCTTTTTGTCGTGCACTCAGTGATAATGAAGCTAAGCTCAATATCAGTGACGCTTTCCATGCAACTATTAAAGAAGTACAACTTTTGTTGTTGTTTTTAGTTTTTATTTATTTAATGAACTTTCATTTCATTTCAGGTTAGCAATCGACTAGATGAGTTGTGCTTCAACGTGAACGAACATTTGATCGAGACTTGCCTCAGTCAAAATAAACATTCTTTTAATTTACTAAATAGTGAACGGAAATCATTAGCGAATGATACAAGAGAATTGAAGCATATCGCTGAAATGCTGGTTGCAAATACGGATGAAAAAGGAAACAGGTATGTTTATTTGCGTATTGTATGTCGACGAATAACCACCCTTCTGCGTTTGCGACAGCTGAACACACTCAATAACCGAGTGGCAAAATTGCTGTTTTCTGAGTTTGAACTGTGAGCGTTTTCACGTGTTCATATTTCAAAGTCGAACTCTCGTTTGGATGACAAAATCTCAGTTGTTCGTTAACAAGACGATCCATATTGTTCACGAAACTTGTTTACAGGAAAACAAAATCACAAGATCGTACTAATAAGCGAAATGCAGCAGATGAAATTCGCTACAAGTTGGCGAATTTGGAAGAAAAACAACGCAAATTAGAGAAGTTGTGGATGAATAGTATCTGTACAGCTGCAACTCCATCAACAACATTGATATCGAAAGAGGGCAAAAACAGTGCTGATAACAATCACAACATTGATGATAAAAACACTTCAGATGCGGTCACAGAACGTAACAATTCAACGCGAGATCGTCATGTGAGGATCGCACCAAATGCCGTGCGTTTTGATTCATCACAGAACGCATCTTTACCCGTATTAACCCATTCGATAGCGAATGAAAACGTTAATTCAACAAATCATGCATAAATACACAAACGTCTTATCATTTGCAATGTTTATTTTTATGCATTATTACGAGTTGGCGAATGTGGAAGAAAATTTCTATTTCATAATTGTTTTATCTTGTATTTTGCTCAATGATCTATCGTTATGACAGAATCGACACTCAGCTTTTTTTACTGCAACTATGTATAGCAACTCTAGGCAATTTTCTCGTTTTTTTTAAGTCACAGGACTTTTCATGAACTTCTTCTTTTTGTAGGGTTTCATTCATGCCCAGTTGATGTGTTTTTACTGATTGTGTACTTTAGTGTTGACATGCTTAAGTCTTATGTATCCTACATATCCTGTTTCAAGAAAGGACGGAATCTCTTTTTTTTTGGTAATTCAGATTTAATCGAGCTTTTCGCTGTACCATACAACTTTCTATGACAGCTCCACTTCGATGTAATTACATCAAACTATTGCAGTTCAACGACAAAATGATCGTGCAAATGCTTCCTATTTGTTAACATTCCTAATGCTATTGAGCATTTCGATGTTGACCGTCCTCGAAACTCATTCGACTGCATTTTTCGAAACAACAATTAATCTCTCTGTACATTCCTCATTTGTTATCTCATCAAAGAATAAGCTCATTTTTAAAGCGGTATCACATTATGTTTTGCATATTCCAACTGAAACTATGTGTGATACATACTACACTGGTTGTATGAAATCAGGAACCATTCAATATATTACCGATAGATAATTGTTAAAAAATAATCTACGTATGCCAAATAAAATCCTTTCTTATTCGCTTTGAGATGGAATTTTCTTATACTGCATTTATGCATTATTGCAGTTTCCTGTGAACCTCAGAATGCCTCCTGTGTTTGCTTAGTTAAACACCTAATTTATGCCGAAAATGAGCATCGCTTGATTCGAAGGTTCATGATATCTTGAATCTTCTTGATCCTTGAAATGATGACAGAAATTAAAGAACAGCAGATCGTCGAAAGCACTCCAAAATAATTGGAAATAAAGAGATATCTCATCGAGAATACAATCTACTAGCTTGTCAATATAATCCACTAAATATCACCCATCACAATCAAAATACCGATGATGAGTAGTCAAATGAAAAAGTGTCAAGTGACATGTCAGTTTCCTACGGATGTTCATTGATAATCAAATTGTGTAATGCTTCACTCTTTGAATGCATGCATCTATTGAATGAACAAAATACGAATGCATATCTATAATTTATCCCCAAAAATTGCATTGACCATCCTTGTCGACTTGTTAGACATATGTGTTATTTCAGATTGCGTGGCTGCATGAATCTTGTACGGTTCAATTGTTGAACGATTTTTGCGATCATCACTTCTCAGTTTTGTTATTATTGAAAGTACCAGTCAATTTATTTCTGTTCCCATCTCATATTTTTGGTTTTGTAAAGAAGTACAGATTGCCAATGTTCAGGCGCACGCTGCGAAGCGAATATGCTTGAGACTGGTTAAAAAATTACTCGTTCAATTGGTGATTAATGCACATCTTCTTCAATGTCAAAAAGATTATTCGATAAATTTGATGATTGAAAAAAACAGGTTACCCTGCTAACAAGTTATTAATCGTAAGACATTTATCGAAAACGACAGTTGAAATCCATCACGACGATTCAGTATTGATTTTCATCAGTTGAATGCCAATCATTCAATCGTATTTTGTTGAGCAACTAAATACTGCTTCTACTTGGTCATGGATTTTGACTCACTCTTGCTTGAGGTTTGCTATTTTCTTAAAATCCCAACTCATAACTTTGCTTTCAACTATGTGCACAAGAGGCGATAAATTTCAGGGCTTCATTTTGTTGAATGTTAATTGTTCCCTCCTCTACTTTCTTCACTATCGAATCTAACTTATCTCTTCCGTAATAATTTCATAACTTATGAAAATTTCTGCATAATGAATCATTCTATGCACGGGAATGATGATATGCATCTCTTGATTCATTATGGAGAATGAATAAGCTCAAAAATCTCAAGTTGAAATAAAAACAGTCATTCGATCCAGAGAGTGTAAAACATGGCTATTTAATTTCATTGTACTACATTCACCCAGTCGCTAGTGATAGCAGTAGAACATTTATAATCAATCGGTCATGACAAATATCTGGAAAGACCTTGTTCATGGAACACAGCTGCAATGAAAGGAGCTCGAATGCACCTCATTAGATCGTCTAACAACTGAAAGACTTGAACATCCATCCACGTGCAAATGTTTCAAAATGAAACGAATTTCCAATCGGCAGATGGCTTACGCAATTCAAATGGTTCCACTCGACCAGGAAGTGATCGCTCGGAAAATTCACCTGAAATTTACAGAAGCGATAAGGAATGACCTTTAGTGGCAATTGTTTGCATTAATCAATGCACTCAGTTCACAATAGAACACACTCAATGAGATCGTTCTTCTGAATCTTGCTGCAGCACTGAATTGTTGCTGGTTTCCACTTTAGTGTCACTCAGATCTGTCGTTCACTAACTTTAGATTAAACTTGCAGATTGGCGGCTTGGGTAAATATCAAATTACTTTATTCTTCATAATATGTTTGCCAGCTAGTTTACCATCAGCATTTTCGGCTTTCAATCAACCCTTCGTTGTTGGCCAACCGGAACATCACTGTAAGCTACCAAACGGCCGTCAGGATCTCGCACCTATCAAAGATATTGCGACACAAGTAACTTCTTGATGCACGAGTTGATCATATCCGTTATATTGCAATTTTGATGAATGACATTATTAAGTTATCGATTCATTCTTTCAAGGTTTCTCAACCAGGAATGTTTGCATCCGTTGTGGGTGCGAGATAGTATTCAAGGGGGCGCAAGATAGCACTTCATTTTTTAGACATTAAAGCAGGCGAGACACATTCAGCGCATACATTTTATGTGCTGTTGAATGTAGATTATCAAAAATTCGTTCGGTTGTGCTTAATTTCATTCCTGAATTAACCATTGTTGTGAGGGGTGCGAGGATATTTTAAATTTTTTAAGGGGTGCGGACGAAAAAAAAAAGGCTGAGAACCGCGGAATATGAGAGCATTTCATTGATACAACTGCAATCATTTGCAAAAAAACCAACTATGAATATTCTCAATATACCGGGCTTACAGTTGACAAATAATTTCAAATGTATGATTGAGCAAAGCTCATTCTTGCTGAATTAATTATAGGAAGATCTCAATTGTCATCAGTACAATCAAACGGAAGTGGATTTTTTAAAAGGACTTAATGAAACAGACTTCGAATTGTCGAAAAGAAAACTGCAACTCATTCCTTGTCAACTGGGATGGGAGTATGATAACGGCACCTATCTTGACTCACTTGTAACAGAGGTTATCAAAAATTTCTGCGTATCAGTTGTTATCAAAAAAATTGTTCTCCTTTTCTTAACGGTTTATCGATCAAAATAATAATATGAAGGATTTTCAGTTTGATCTCGTGTGCAATAATAAAGGCTGGGTTGATACGACCAGTACTGCATTTTATATAGGTGGTTTCGTTGGTAATATTCTATTCGGATACATCGCCGATAAGTACGATTATGCTAAATTGAAAGGTTTTTTAAAACAATAATCAACGGAATTTTTGAACCGCCTAAAAAAGAATCAATGCAAAACAATTTATAAAACTTTTACTTTATAATACGCATGAAAGAATAAGGTAATTGAATAAGGTAATTCAAGTAGGATCTATGTATGAGTCAATTGAAATTCTTAGACGGAAGACATTGTTATAGTGATGGTAACTTTACGTATGAATGTGCTAAATAATGTGACAAATGTAATTTTATCAAATCAAAATCTATTTGTAGATTCGGGAGGCGTATTTCGTTCTTCATAATTCTCGCATCGTTAGTTGTGTTCGGTACAATGAATGCATTCGTCAGCGACGTTCTATCATTCACTATTATGCGTTGTCTTACTGGATTACCTTTTCCAGCACTCTTTCAAATACCTTTCATCATCAGTAAGTGGGTCATTGATTTACGGTTGAATTGAATTTCAAATTATGGTGAAAATCTTTTTGGGTGGCGGTGTAGTTTCAGTCAAACGACAGAATGAAATGTTGAAAGCAAAATAAATTTTTTCAGACAAAGAATTCATACTCTTGAGATCCGAATGACTGACGTGTGAATCTATCAATTAGCAATCAATTAACAGCTAAATTTACTGACTGAACTCATTGACCAGTATATGCAAGAAAGTTTTTCATTTGATCATTGATTTTAGAGAGCTAATGAATCTACTCAGGTATGGAATTCATGGACAACTCAGGCCGAATATTCTCTGGAATTATGATCGACGTATTTTTTGGTATTGGAATGACTTTACTAGGTGTTCTGGCCATGTTGATAAGACGATGGCGTCTTCTGACATTCTTCTCCAACGCACCTTTCGTCTTACTCTTCTCATATTACCTGAAAGTGTTTATGAATATTGTTATAATGGGAATAAGCCATGCACAGTGAAAGTATCTTCGGCAATTTTCGAATGAAATTCATTCATTTCCTATCTTCAAAACAAATGAGCACATCGATTCTTTTGATTCGGACTTGAGTCGTTTTGGTGTTTCTGATGACTCTTGCAGCTACACACTTAAATGGAATAGTTTAATTGAATGTTATTCTAATATTTTCAGCTTTTTACCCGAATCTCCGCGTTGGTTGATTTCGGCTGGCAAATTTTCCAAAGCTAAAAAAATCATCGAGCGTATCGCTAAAGTGAATGGAAAGAAAGATGTGGACATGAATGAGTTAATGATTCAAGTAAGCTGCCACTTAAGTTAATCAATTGTCATAGCGTACTCTCTACTGATACTTTAAATATTCAATTCTTTTATTTAATTCATTGCTCCTCGTTCAGAATTCGATACTCTTACTGAATGTAAATTTTATCATTAGATGATAAATTAAAGTTAATCAAGTCGCTAAGTAAGACATATTATTCAAAAGTTGTTCATGAGAATATCGTACAAGCATATCATGAACTTCTGTTATTGATGCTTTTCTTCTCAGCTCCAACGGAATCGAAAAAATTCAGCAACAGACATAAATCGACATCTCTTCGATCTCTTCAAAACAACAAATTTACGCAGAACAACACTATTGGTTACATATATTTGGTAAGTTTTTTTCATGTTCCTTTAATTTCTTTCTTGGTGATATCTTCAATCGGTAGCGTAATCAAGGGACCAATGTGATTTAGAATCAGTTATCAGGGTAACATGATGCATTAAAATCGTAATTATAAGAACACTTAATAAAATGATATCAGCAGGTACCATAATATCTTTTGAAAACTCACTCACATGGCCATGAAATAGATTGCGGCAAACTGAGTTTTGAGAAAGTTTCTACTTTTTGAGAATGAACCTGATACCGTGAATCTACGGTAAACGATTATCAGCTGAATTACTATTCATCAATATTGTTATTAATTATTATTCATCAGTATTATTATATTCATCAATATTATCTCTCGAAATTCTGAAAAAGTTAGCGGTGAAAGTCATATGTGATTTTCGCTTTCTCTCGATTCATATTGATTTTCAATTGAGGTTTGTAAACGCAGTCGTTTACAACGGATTAACATTCAACATTTCCAATCTGCCAGTCAGTGATTACGTGTCGTTCATTGTGAATGGTGCAGTTGAAATACCAGCCTATCTGCTTGCGTGGCCATCGTTGGGTTACTTGGGACGAAGGTGGACACTTGCATTACTGATGCTTCTCGGTGGATTCGCATGTGTTTCTACTATGTTTGCGCCAGCATCGGCTGGTTATTGAACTCACTCTTCGTCTCTTAATTTTCAGTTTCAACTTTACAAGCTCAATCACTCAACCATGCATGCTGTATTCTAGCTTGCTTGTATTCCACCTGGATAGTTGGCAGTTTTAGAACACCCATGGATAATTTCTGGACTTGCATACGTGGGAAAGTTTGGTATCGCAGGAAGTTTCGCAGTGATATACATATTTGCTGGGGAACTCTATCCAACCGTTCTACGTGCTATGGGCATGGGAATGAGTTCAATGGTAGCTGGCTTTGGACTCATCTTGGGACCATATCTCGTCCGTCTGGTAAGTTTATCACATGAGTATTTGTTGATTTGACAGGTTAGCATCACAATTCGCAAAACTAATGCCCGAAACTACTGAAACTTTAGAAAAACCGTTATCACAAGTTTTTCTAAAGGTCTCATTTGTTCAACTAACGTATTTTCGTTCAAAATTTCACTATTGCAGTCGCGTTTTATTTGTGGTGATGAGTGCAACAAGGTTTGAGAATTTTCAGCTTCGTTACTCTAATCAACTTTTCAGATATAATGTTATCAGAGATGGCTTTTGTTTTATTAGCAAAAATCGTTCATTTTGCTGCGAAGGATGCTCATATGATGCGATGTGTTTGTTTCAGGGCGATTCATCACAAATTTTACCACTTTTAATAATGGGGTTAATGTCTGTGTCAGCTGGCTTAGCTGCGTTTTTCCTACCGGAAACACTTGGCATTGCTTTACCGCAAACGCTGGAGGAAGCAGAAACACTAGGAAATACAACAACGTTAACATGCATGCCTGGTAAGTACACAACGGATCATCAAATCGATCAATCGTTTTTGCTTTAATCATATCAATAAATTTTTTTGTTCAGTACATTCTTCTTCCTAGCACTGATTTACATAGGAGCAAGACGTTCGAAGAGAATCAACCAGTGGAGAGAAACACGTGAAAAAATAAGTGGTGACAAGCATTCTTCTCATAAGAACTGCAGCGATTCGAAGGATTTAGTCGATGACGCAGACCTTAATGAAGCGATATCATTATGTTAGAGCTTTCAGTGCATAACTCATTCAAATTTGTATGTGTTAAAATATAACAGTGAAATCACGATTTCGTTTGTTCTCTCTGCATCGTATTAGTACTATGACGCAGACCTTAACGCAGACGCAGACCAGCATCTTATTAGTAATCGGTAATTCCAGTCGACTTACGGTTAATGCAACAAAAAGAAAACACATAAGCATAAAACCAGACGTTCATCAGTAACGTTTATCAGAGATTGATTCCAGAGAAAGAGGAGTATTCACTTCTTGTTCCTCTATTGCATTGCAATTAGGGTTTGCAAAATCCCGATGATTTTTCAATCCTGGCATAATACCAGGATCCAGCACCTTTAGAAATATAGAAGTGTCACGCGTCTAACACATTCTTTTGGAACGAATGCAGTCGTAATCAAGATCATCAACGGATATCGTAATGATTTGCGATATCCGTTGATGATCCGCGATAGATCAGATACGTGCTAATCAAGATGCATGGAAATCAGAATACATTATCATGATCCACTAGATCTTGCCGATTATCCCTACTTTGTTCAATAATCCAGCATGCATTTACCGTTGCTATTGAACAGTCACCAATAATGAAAGATTAAACAGCTCAGATGATGAGCGGGAAAGTTGAATGTTTTCATGTTGAAAGCACCAGTGAATTTCGTTAGCAGTTTTTGCGAGCAATATTGCGAAAAACCTTGGGGAAATCTGAACAGAATTTGAACGATGAATTTCTTTGCAGTGACTAAATCTTTGCATCAAAAAAATTAATTTGTTTTTTGAAATGGTTCATATCGGTTACTATTTTATGCACTTATCGTTCCAATGTGTTATGTCATTCGTCATTTTATGTGTTTTTGATTATGACCATTCCGCTTCTCATACCTGTTTGTGCTGTTAACTTTTGTTGTTGGTGCGAAGGCTACGTTTAATAATATAGTTTATCAACAACAATAAATAAGAGCGGTACTGTTGATTGAGCAGAGTGATGATACAACTGAAGAGGAGATGACGATTTCGAAAGATGCCGACGATTTTACCTGGCGCTTTCCTTGGGCATAAATATTTTTGTCAACATCCCGTAAAGTACTAAATTTTGTCTATTATCCACCTTTCACTCCATGATAGAGTTCACAGTCACGTATAAGTGCATGAATAGTTTGAATGTTGTTCCAATCTGTGATGCAGGTAAAATTGTTTGAAAAAACTTCAGTTTAAACTGAATTGATGGTTTGTTTCAAGATGTGGCTAAAATTCCTGGTATATTTTCTTTCAGAGGGAGATTATTTGAAGTTTTTAAAGAGCAGTTGACTCATTTTGCATCATACAGTCTAACTCATTTGTATCATAATCGATGAATGTGTTTATCAGCTAGCCCAGTAGTTTTCACGCTCAGGTGTTACGTTTCTTCCTTCCATGATTTGGCAGGACCTTCCCCCCTCACCGCTACAATAATTTACTAATTCCACGCATAACCTCAAAAGAGAACCGAAAACCAATCCAGAAGTTCCTCAGTAGCATACAATAAATTGATTTTCTTGAGTGAAGCCAGTAGTGACAAGTATTTCGTAAGTTCTTTAATATATTAGCTGACAACGAGCAGCGGGGATTGATTGAGAGAAACTAATATTTGCTGGAGTTGTTTTGCAACGATGAAAAGCCATTGTGATGGTGTTTCATCATACTAAACTTACTCACTTGTTGTATCTCAAAACCCCTGATAATTCGGATTCATTTTCATTGATTGATGAGTTTTTACTTATTCCTTAACTATCCCTTTGGGCAAAAGATTGCTTTTGCGTTCTTGTCGAAGATTATTCATCAAATTTTTATTACATCTTCCGTTTTCATGAACAAATGATTCCGTTGATATACTTCATTATTGAGACTACGCTGACAAATGTTTTTTTTTCACTGCTTTAGTTGTTAACTGCTGAGATTTATGCTGTTTCTGCATTGACAAATAATGTTCGCCAAATATTAGCTTCTCTAAATCAATCCCCATTGCTCGATGTTAGCCTATATATTAAAGAATTTACGAAATACTTGAGACTACTTTGAACTTTGACTTTTGTTTAGGCCTAGACAAGATGAAGATACTCAGGGAAAAGGAATAAGAAGAGTGTTACCATGAGCGGAACACATATACATACCCAATTGAAAAAACACCATCACAGCGGCGTTCCGTCATAATATAATAAATACTAATTTTGTGACCTCCTCCACTATCCCCGGACATCCTTAAATTACCCAAAAGGGGATAATATCTCCCCCATGAGAATCGCTAAGCTAGAAATAACTGGCCAGCTTTAGGATTCTCTATCTGTGGTTATAATAATAGGTTGCTGATGAATTGTGCTAATGGGTTCTGTGGTTCTAATAATGGGTTGTATCAGACAGATCCTAGTATGTGCGGTTCATATTCTGTGCGAAAAAGTGCAAACGGTTGCAATAAATCAAAAGATGTCACCTGATATGGAGATATCATTAAACTGAAGTTTTTTTCTCGAAGAAGAAGAAGCAGAAAACTTTGTGTTTTGCTTCTTCTTCGGAAATTTCAAGAAATAATCATGAATAGCTGTCAATGACCGACAATAATATTGCTTAAAGAGTGAAAAGAATGTGTGTGTGTGTGTGATTGACAGATTTTGCTTTAATAAGATTTATATCTCACAGCCTTTCAATTGCAAATTCAGTGCACTGAATAAGTGCATGAAGTAAACGATGTCAGATATGTAAGCGAAGACACCGCCTTATATCGTCACTCCTCACTTTACAGTACGCCGAAATTTTGGGTTACTCGAGCCATTTTGGAGCCTGCTTCGTAATAGTCCGAAATTTTGTTACTGAGATGCGAATTGGACTATATGCGGTGCAGGTATAATTTTCAGTGCACGAGCTGAATGGCAAGGCATAAGATGTGTTGTGTTCGAGAAGTCTAAATTCACTTTTGCGAACTGTCATCTCGAAACAGCAAAGATATTTTGCTGGTATCTTTGCTGCTTCGGATACTTTGACTAATATGAGTGAGTGAATGAGAAATTCGTTTGATGCTTCGCGTTCTGCTTCTTCTTCGAGAATTTGAAGACTTTTCTAATGCAACTACATGTCAAAAATGTTGTCAGGTGAAGTGAACCTACAGTTATTTTTGTACATCAGTCAAATTAGAATGCGTTTGAAAGCACTTCAGACGTAAACATCCAAAAAAACGGGAAAGAAATGCCGCAAAATATTTACTGAAATGAAGCGAATAATTTCCGAATACCTTTCAATATTAACGTCGCATCGATTCTTTAAATGCAGCGTGGTTATTAAATCAAATGTGTTAAATCGTTCGTCATAGTTTGAATGTCGACGTTCGTTCAATTTGTTTACAAACAGATTGACTTTAAAGTAGTAATATTTCACTAGAAAGTGCACATCTCATATTCATAGTTACACATGTTTGTTAACGTTCGAAAATTTATTGTCATCGTTCAGTCGATTCATTGTAGGAATATTTTTCAAACAGTTTAGCCGTTTCGGTGTTCCATCACTTTCGATGTATGTTCATAATGTATTTGCTATCTACTTTATTCTTTTCATCGCACAGCTGAGAAAGTACTATCAGACTTTGATGTGCTCCTTACTGAAATATTCAGCGAACCAATACTAATCCTTAAACTGCTCTACATTCATTTCGTCACAATGAAAACATTACTTTTGATTTCATTTTTGAATTTTGTTCAAGATTTTAACAGCGTCAGATGAATTTCTTAAACATTTTACGAAGGTCGTTTTCAATACATATTTGATATCATTTGTTTTCGTTTCAGCCATTTGTTTGCTCAAAATGGCTTGTTAAACAGTCATTTAATTGTTATCTGTTGTGCACATGTACTATTTTTCATTTTCGTTCCACTCTTGTTTGTTTCATTTCAGTCATCATTATCGGTCGATCACACATCGTTTTCTTCATCTTCTTATTCCATCTCACTTTCTATCGATCTTATTTTCATTTAATGTATCAGTTCTCTGCGATGAGTTTAGGAACGTCTTCTGGTAGGCGTTAAGATGAATAAATTTCAGAAAATCATATTTATAAATGATGCCCATCTATTTTTTTGATAACCTATAAAACTGCTCACTTTAAGGAAGATGTTTCATCTTAAATAAGCATTCAGCTGTTGTTCTCATGTGTTAATACGATTAGTTGCGTGTATGATTTCGAAGTGTCAGTAGCTCGTGAGTGGATCGATTTATCACACACTTACTGTTGTTTTAGTTTCGCGATAAGTTTGGTATCCAACTTGTACTCTCGAATTCACATTTTTGTACGGGAACATATGTGTCTGATGCATTTGAGAAGGTCGTCTGAATTCACAATTCGATTTTTTGATTATTGATTGGTATTATTTTTATTAGAAGTATCACAGAACACATAGTGCGACTATACTTGAAAGTTATTCAGCTTGACACGACCCATAGTTGCTGCTAGATTTGTGAGCAATCAAATTTTAACTGGTACCAAACATTTGTTAATGTTAGTTGATCACTTTTTCAGACCTTCACAAGTGTTCACATTAATTTGATCAAATCAGTCGGATGTTTATAACTTTCTATTCTCTCAAATAATTGTGCTTCACGAATTTACTCACTGCTAAAGAGCAACTGTCCATACTCTAATAATGCAGTTGATGTGCTAATACATTAATAGAAGAAGTTTTGAACCGTTGTGATTCTAATTCGAGCTCTTGTTGAAAGTCTTCCATTTGATACCATTTCTATGGTGTTAATGGTAGTTGAGGCGTTCGATGGAAATGCTTGCATGCTTACATAGATTAGAGAACATACTCATACCTGTCGCTTTTCCCGACGAATTGTTTTTGTCGAAACAAAACCATTCGTGGTGCGATCTTCAGCTAGACTAATAAATAAATGCAATACTTCAGTTATGTGCATCATTAAACAATTTGACGGTCTTCTTTCAGAATTTTCTCAACCCTTCTGAAATGAAG